TATTTGCTTTAATTATTTTAAAAGAGCTCATTCTACTTAAAATCTCAGGTTGATGTCACCGTTGCTCCCAATCTGGCTTGTCTAATACTTGATTAAGCTGTGCTTGAACACTGGAGTCGAGAGCATCGCCACAGTAACCCATGAACAGAGCTTATATTCTTGATTTCTTTTTACTTTTTATAATTGCAAAAAAAAAAAAAAGTACAGCATCCTAAGCGTACAGCAGAAGTTGAGGACTCTAACACTGTTTAGTTTTAAGACCAAAAAATGGAATAGTTTGTTGGTGTGGTAGTAGGTTTTACATGCCTATATAAGGAAAGACACATTTACACTGTGCCAACAGCAATCATATCTTAAGTCCCCAATTGAAATGTGACTTTTTAAACTCCAAAACCCCATGTGACTGTTTAGCCATCTGTTTAATGAAACGACCACCGTTGATTTGGGCATAGATAATTATTACAATAAGAACAGTGCTGGGGAAAGATCAGCTTGTCCCAGTTGAGTATGACAGTTAATTATGAAGAGATAATTAGTGAAGGCTAGTTAGCATTATCTCATATCCAGGAAAGAAATAGGTAACAAATCTCAATCTAGGTATAGATCATGTAGAATATGTGATTGTGTACATCTTTGAATAATTATTTTTAAATATCTAAGATAGATACTAAATAGTAGATTTACTGAGCTGTATTCAACTGGAAGGAGCAGTGTTGTTTTCCATAAATTATCTATTGAACTCTTCGCATTTTGGTGAAATATTATTTCAAGTTATTACAGTGGAAGCTTTTGTGTTTTATGGCCACTCTTACTGGTGTAAAAAGGAATCTTCAGCATTTATCCCTGGTGGAACCCATGACTACAGCCCTTAACACACTGACAGGAAAACACTAAAGAGATGATTTTAGAATAAGCTTTCCACCAGTAAATGTCACGAAGGAAAGGGGAGTCCCCATGAATATCGTTCTGAGAACTCATAAATAATAGTTTTAAATTTCTCTGTGATAGCACTGCTTCTATAAGGAGCAAAACTGATGAATTTCCTTCTCACTCTCTTGGTCTAAGTACTTTTGAGTTGTGAAATAGATAATAGCCACACCATGGAGGAAAAATAAGCCAAAGACTTTCATATTTAGTATCATATAACCGGGCATAGCATAATTGAGCTCTGTGTGTATTGACGAGCACCGGCATTTATTACTGGCTCATCAGTATTAGAACCAAGGGGATTTTTACCAGGATTGCCTCACAGGAGAGAAAGAACTTCGCTGCCTGGCTCCTGATTCTCGTTCTGGGCATGAAACTAAGCTTTATTATGTGTCATGTACCGTAATTTCTTGGCACTTCTGGTTGCCCCAACGTGAAAATCTTGTGAATTTAGATTGCATCAGTTTAGAACATGTGATGGAATTTAGATAAGTTCCATTTTATCATGCCATTAATGAAGAAGAGTTTTAAAGAATTAATAGGAAGCTGTTTTAGGAGGATTTTGATGACTTTAAGAGAAGGATTTTAGGAAGACCCTAATATATTCTTCATTTCAATGCATAATGGAGTTAGCTGTACATGGACTCCTCCGGAGGAATGTGTAGTGTTTAAGAGCTCCAGCTTTCTTTAAACTCACTGAGGCCTTCATTGTAAAATGACAATAAACTTTACTAGGGATTATTAGTCCCAGTTTATCATCAGACTTAAAGATGAATTCAGGTGTTTCCACATCATAGCTGTGTGATCTTGGGCAAGTTATATAGGACTTTAATTTGGGTTTCTTTAAAATGGGTGATAAAAGTACTTTTTCTCAAGGGTTGTTTGGAAGAAATTAGATAATGAATCACAGATTTTTGTATTAATGCTTCCACATCTAAGCACTCAATATGAGTTAGGTATTATTAATATTTATCTTAAGATTAATTTAGAATGAATAGTACTGATTTTCTCCTTGGAGGTACATATTTTATCATGTATTTAGGATATTGTAAATTCCTTGAAAAACACATATGTACCTATTAAACTGTAATATAGATTTTATTCATTCATTCTGCCGTTCTCTCCAATGAGCTTGAATCAGGTATAATTGTAATACAGACATGTAAAGGAATAACTTTGGTCTGCTTATTTTTGGTTGAGCCAACATTTTATATATAAGGATCTTTCCTAAAATATTTTATGTTATTAATAATAAATTTTGTAAAAGTACTAAGTATACAACAGAATTTAGGAGAGTGGAAGAGTTGAGAATTGGGAGACATGAAACCTGGCTTCTATTTCTAGCTCAATTTGTCCTTAGGCAAAAAAGTTTCTTCAAACTTTAAGGAAGAAACTGTACTGAATGATTTATATGACCATTTACAGTTATCGGATTATGATTCTACAGTAAACTCAGAACAACTCTATTTTCAAAATTATATTGTTTAACTTCTGGCCATGTTTAATCACGTATCTTTGCTTCTACTGATTTTTTTCACTTAATAGGAAAGAGTACATGATTGCTTTATCTTGAAGTTGACTTTTTTCCCAAAATCTTGAAATAATGAGGTTATCCAGTGACCTTAAAAAATATCTAGTTCCACTCAGCTGGGAAATTATTCTATTTTCTGAGAAGACCAATTAAATATACTTGGTAAAAACCCAACTGTGTCATTTTCTCCAAAAAGGAAAGTATATAAATTATTACACACAGTAACTTATACTGTTCTAGTAAAAGTCATTTCCCATTTTGTTTTTAAATATTAAAAAGAATTTGAAAGGAAATGCTACCAAATCATTTTAATTAAAGAGGTATTTTACCTTGTATTCTCTCTGTTCAACAAACTATTAGGTGTTTAAGGAATGTATGTGTTTATTACTACAATTTAGTCAGCTTAAGGAAGCGCCATAGCCTTACATATTCCTAATTTTAAATAGAGGTACCAGGTAACGAGAAAAAATAAAAGGAATGAAGAACAGAAACAGGTCTCTGAATTTCATGTGCCTGGCAATGATTGGATCAGGAAAATAGAGACTGCTGATATTTTAGTTAGCTTCTGTTAATTCAATCCCTAGAACTAGATGAAGTGTCTAAAGATGTAGTTTATAAAGGTGTGAACTCTCACTTCTATTTGAACAATGCTAGCTACAATGAAATAAATGATTTTTTTATAATGGAATGTTCTTATTCCCATTTTTCCTGTAACACTGTTGCCTCAAAACATAATTCAGTTGAGATGAACAACATTGTGTAGCCAATTCCCATGGGGTTTAGAGTATAATTTTGAGCCATGTTATGGCCATCTTTTAATGAAACACTGATTTTTGTAGCTTAGTATAGTTTCAGTTCTGAGCTAGACTACCTTATCCATATTCAATGAAGTACAGAATGAAATGAAGCAATATGCATTTTGAAATGATATATACACCTTTATGACAATTTAAATATTTTTTAACGTTTACTTCATTTGACCCTCTCTGTTCCCAACACACAGTCCTGACTTTGTAATTTCCTTCTCAAAACTATTCTTCCTGCTACCTCAGAGGGCCTCTTTCTTTTCTTCCTTTTGCAAAAACGACATTCCAAATATCCTAACGCTTTATTGTCAAAGTTGTCTACCTATCATTTCCATCATCTCACAGGGTTAGCAGGTGGAGACTGCACCCTATACCCTTCCTACCTTTTGCCTACAGAGGCTACTTTGGAGGTGGAAACATGGGGGAGTCAGGTGAGGCAGCAGCAGAAATTGCTTCCTAGTTCAAATAAAGTCAAAGCTTGGTCTCTTTCTGCACTGAACAAATTCTACTGAAGAGTAGCTATTAAAACACTGTGGTCTGAATTTAGTTGTTCTAGAATATTGTTTGAGATAGAAATGCTATGGTTCGGTGTGCTAATGCACATCATACATGCCAGAGTTAGCAAAATGAATCAAGTACAATAAAGGCATGCTCACATTCATTTACAAACATTAATTAAAAGATCGCTAATAGTTGGGAGGTCTCTAAGAAATATGTATGGCAGCCATACATATTTTGGACTCAGGCTTTGAAAACCCTAAGATGGCATACCATTATAATATGCTAGGTTGCTAAAAGATGCTTATTTTGTCATTTCATATTTTGCTATCTCATCTCGTTTAATTTTTATGTTACTTATCTATCATTTGCTTCTCATCATTTTTTAAAAAACTGTCTGGTGTCATTAAGTACTTCATCTTTCAGTTAGATAATTTGTCATGTAATTATGGGAAAAAATGGAAAACTTTTCTGATTATCACAAATGATATGGAGAATCACAAACAATTTGTAGTTAATTAGGAGCTTAGTCAGGGGGTTAATGAGTTTCTACATGGGCTACACAGAAGATGGATATCCAACATGTACCTCTTACACTAATACTATTGACACATATTTTATAAATAAAACAAAGCATGTAGGCACACATGCACATCTCACATCTAGAACACTGAATTTTTGTTATAGCAAAATTGTTCTAGGACTGAAGTCTTAGTTTGTTTTTAAGCTAAAGTAAGGTGTTTTTTATAAGAATTTTAATCACATCAATTGTGTCACAACTCAGACTGTAAATAGTCATAATATTTCATATTAAGATTGTTTGACATGGTCTGAGTGTCTGTCAGTTTTTCCAACTGTTTCGGCCCTGTCACTTGTTTTTGTTTTGTTTTGTTGTGCATTGTCATATGTTATAAGAGAATTAAAGGACTTGTTTTACTTGCAAAACCCAGTCAGCAATTTTACCACTGCCTGTTCAAACTCCAGCTTAATGGCCTAGACTAAACACTTGTGACAAAGGAGCTGTGGGAATGGATGATGGATCTGTAGCAACTCTAGCTTTAACCTCTAACTAGCTTTCATTATTCATCTTTGCAATTTCCATTTCCTCTTTCTATTGAAATCCGTTGAGTTGAAATACATGGATACTCCTGCACATCCTATGAGATCTGAGTATAGCATTGGACTGTTAATGATACTGTTAATAATTTTTTCATGTTTTTTTCTCTCTTTTTTTTTAGTCTCGACCTATTCCTTCCCACCTTACTTCAGCAGTTGCAGAGAGTATCTTGGCTTCAGCCTGTGAGAGTGAGAGTAGAAATGCCGCCAAGAGGATGCGTCTGGATAGACAACAGGTACTGAGGAGTCTTGGGGTCTGGTGACCACCAGCTATAGCAAATATGGTTAAGTTAATCTGATTTATGGAGAAGAGCAGAATCTCTGGAATGGATTTAAAGTCCACAGAGATATCGTTTTTCTGTCTTTGTGATATGAATTTAAACTTGAAAAAGGCGTGTCCATGAGATCAGTAGAGATGCAATGACAAAAATTTCCTGTGATGAAAAATGGACAATTGTAAAATTAATGAGTTAAAATTCTGTTTAGTATCCAATGTGAAGGCTAATGACTTATCTAAATAAGAGGCTCTAAATGATCATTTACAGTAGTTTTGTAAGTTTACCTGATTGTTTATAATAGTGACCTGATTATGGTCTTTTTGAATGAAAATGAACCTCTCATTTCCTCTGGTCCATTGCCAAATATCAATAGATTATGCTAGGTATGGGGAAAACACAACATAATCTTGAAGCCCAGAAAGCCATAAAATGGGGGTATAAAAGAAGGAACATCTATGTCCTGGGCTTACCTTCACATTAACAAATCATTTACCATATAACCATTAAGTATCATCTTTCTGCATCTCTTTTCTAAGGCTGTATATCCATGTGATGTAGATGTACTCTTGCGGTGTGCGGACTTCTCATTGCGGTGGCTTCTCTTGTTGCGGAGCATGGGCTCTAGGTGCCTGGGCTTCAGAATTGTGGCATGGGCTTAGTTGCTCCGCGGCGTGTGGGATCTTCCCGGACCAGGGATCGAACCTGTGTCCCCTGCATTGGCAGGAGGGTTCTTAACCACTGTGCCACCAGGGAAGCCTGAGACTTTTGTCATTATTATATCTCTAAAATTTATCTTGCTTAAAATAAGTTACAGGCCAATATATAATACCATATTTAGCATAGTGATTAAGACTGCATATTCTGGAGTTAAATACAACTGATTTTGATTCTCAGCTCTACCCTTACTAACTGTGTGACCTTCAGGAAATTATTCCAATTCTCTGTGCCTAGTGTTCTCATATGTAAAATAACAATAATAACAGTACTGATCTTATAGGGGTGTGTGAGAACCCTGAATGATAGATTTATGTTAGGTACTTAGCAATTTGCCTGGCATGTGGTAAGCATCAAGAAAATTCAGCCTAGAAAGAGTTATTTTAATTGATGTTCTAGCTTTTCTGTCATTGCATTGGTATCAGTAAGACTATAAAGAAGCATTAACAGTACTATCTCAGATTTAGGAGTTTTGAATTCAGACTAAGTCCACTTGAGAAAAGATCATTATTCTAGAAATCAGAATAGTAGAATTCCAGGATTGAAAGGAATCTCCTGGTTGTCAGTTCGCTACATAGCTCATCCAATCTACACTCTAGAATATCCCTGAATCATAGAGTCAATCATATGTGCAGTTGTCATGAAAATTAAATGACTGATTCATGTTATGTACTGCCTACTGTCTCCTTCTACAAGTTCCCCGAAGCTGGTCGTCCACAATATTTGGTCTCATCACTTAACCACTGTTGACCTAATCTGTAAAATGGAGGATACAAATGTATAGTTATTTCTTCTTACTGTGAATTATATAGACTTCACTTGGCATGCAGCACAAAGGCTTCTACCAATTGGATTTTACACTTTCATCAAGGCATGGAGATGTGGGAGCAGGAACTCCCCTAACTGGATCTAAACACTCTTTGCCTAAGTAGAGACAACCAGAGTTCTTTTTGGTGTTGGCAATGGTATCATCCTTTTCTAGGCACATTCTTAACCCAACTCACAATTCTTAGAATTTTCCAGTGACTCAAAGATTCTTCATTGTGTCCCTGCCTTTCTGTTGGTGCATGAAAGTTCAGAAATGAGACAGTTAAAATCTAAATTCTGTTCAGCTGCACACATGACTACTTGCTGCCCCTGGTTAGCCATATGTAGGGCTGTAATTATATGTGTCCTTCAGAGTTTATGAAACTTGATAAATTAATTGGGCTTTATAAAGCTATGAACATGAAAGGTACTATGGATGTGTTAAATACTTTATTTCATATGTCCACCTTGCCCCAGGGTCTAGAGGAGGCAGCCTCAGCCCTGAAGCAAGTAGGCAAGGGCAGGAGCCTACTGCCTCGTTAGGAATCAGATGACTCAGGGCTGAGGTCAATCCCCAATGAATTATAGAATATACTCAGCATTTCTTTTCTTTTCTTTTTTTAATACATTTATTTATTTTTGGCTGCTTTGGGTCTTTGTTGCTGCTCATGGGCTTTCTCTAGTTGCAGAGAACGGGGGCTACTCTTTGTTGCGGTGCACGGGCTTCTCATTATTGGGGAGCATGGGATCTAGGTATACGAGCTTCCATAGTTGTGGCTCACGGGCTTCAGTAGTTGTGGCTCACGGGCTCTAGAGCGCAGGCTCATTAGTTGTGGCACATGGGCTGAGTTGCTCCACGGCATGTGGGATCTTCCAGGACCAGGGCTTGAACCCGTGTCCCCTGCATTTGAAGGTGGATTCTCAACCACTGTAACACCAGGGAAGTCCCAGCATTTCTTTTCTTTTAACATGAAAATCTGGGATTTTTATGTTACCCAGAAAATCCTTTTTCATTTTGGCAATTCAAAAAGATGGGCAGAGTCAGACTTCACATTTATATTGCTATGACATAGCTCAAATTGTCTTTATCTTTGTTATTTAGATATTATTTCACTACTATTTACTTAAAAACCAATCTATCTCAATGATTTTGGCTAAGTTCATCTCACCAGAGAGACAGAGGCAGAAAGTGAGAAAGATTAGAAACATCCACTTGCTGGTCATTTATCCCCCATCGCTTTGTACTTGCTCTTTTTGAGGAATGACGTATATTCTATTCCAAGGCTTGTTGAAATTCCTGATTAATGTGAGGGTTCCTTTGGCTCCTTTTCTCTATTTAAGTTCTTTCAGTTAAATTAGCTTTTAGTTTTATAGAAGGGATCACGTAAAACCAATGGTCAAGGGCTTCCTCGGCAGATCCAGCCCTCATGAAGAACAATGCAGCACGAGTGTGCTGGGTGGCAGTTTTTGCGGTGACTGGGACAGATGGAAAATCAATGGTAGGCTGTGATATGACACCTTTGACTCTACTGAAAAGAACACCATAGGGGAATTGGCATGTTAGTTGCTTGTGACATAATAAAAGGTGAGAAAGCAGGGGAAAAAATACTGAAAACTGATGCATCGCTGAGTTAAAGAAGAAAATCGCTATTAGTAAACCAACAGAAAACCATCGGCCCAAGACCAAAAAATATTTAGTAAGCCCACAGTTCCTGCTACTCTGTTTTCTATAGTACTGGTGAATTCACTGTGACCTGTACCTCTTCCTGATTTTTCCTTTGTTCTGTTAGGTTGCTAATGAGTGGGCATGTTATTAAAAGAAACATAATGGTAGGTATCAAGGTTGAAAATATAGCCACATAAACCCAATGGCAGTTTTAATACAGGCATTTCATTTTGTCATGGATGTATTTGAAGACTACCGAAAACACCACGGTCAAGCTGTTTTTGAGTCAGGCAGCTCTCCTTTCATGTTTCCTTCTGTATTTGCATGTACTTTTGGTAACGTTTATAAAATTTCACAAATGCATAATTGAAAGAAATATTTTTCAGTAGGATTTTATGCTTAAATGTAAACATTATGATAGTAACTGAGATAGGGTTTGAAACCTATTTCTGTGGCCTTCCAGCCCACACTTCCATACCCCTACTCTCAGTCATCCTTGGCTTTCATTCTACTTCTAGCATTTGTCTTTCTTATATACAATATTTTGGAGAAAGAAAACTCTATCTTTGAGTGTTCTAACATGTGTTTCAGCACGGCCCTCTCATCCAAAGGAGAAAAAATATAAGAGAAACAAAGTACCACTTAGAGTAGTTCCTTGAATATATTGTAATTCCTCTGTAACACATGTAATTTTAAACAATTGAAATAGAATATACTTCACAAGTCATCTAACTGTAATAGGCCTTATTTTCTTCATTAGTAATAATATTAATAACAACAGAACAGCAGGAACGTGTATGGATGAAGCACTGTTTGAGGTGGGTTGCAAGCCTATTTTATGTAACTGTCATCACTTTTCATGAAGTGGAGACATTGAGGCTCAGAGCTCTTAGCGCAGAGCTGCTCAGGATGGATCCCCACTTGGATCCAATCCTTGTGCTTTTCAAAATCATGCTTATAGTAACATTTAAAAAAAAATACTTTCAGACATGCAGGCTTATTTTTGATAATTTAGGAAATAGACTAATGTATAGAGAAGAACTATAATTGACTAGTAATTCCACTATTCAGTTTTATAATATAATTCTTTCTACTACTCTATCTATGCAAAACGTCCTGTTTTAAAAAGCAAAATAGTATCACATTGTACCCTTCCATTTAGCTTAATGTTGTGAATATTTATGGTATCACTATGTAAGTTTATCAATTACTTTTAGGAGCCCCTTAATACTCCATCATGTAGTATTTTCCAAACTATTAAATGTTGATTTTGTTTTTCCTACCATAATTTGCCTGTGAAAAGGATACCTTGCCAGTTATTTTTTTAGAATAAATTATGAGACCTGGGTCAAAAACCAGCAAGGCTTTTTAAGCTCTTGATATATATAAGGTCCATGCTCTTAATTTCTACCTTATTCCTATAAAAATAAGCGTTTCTGCTTGTTTTATAAACATATGCCTATTAAAAGCTTTTTTTAACTTCTAAGAATCTTTGATTCTTAACCAGTGGTTCCTAAATCTTTCAAATATAGCATGTCTGTTTTACAGGAAACACCTCGAAATGCCCCACTTTTAGATCCTGAAATGCAATTTATAGTTAATATAAATTATGCTCACAATTGAAATATGTATGGATAATGTCTTGATTTTAATATAAATAATACATTATTTATTTTAAAAGTAACATATAATCAAATAACATGTATTTTGGTGTGGAAATATGGGGATTCCACATCACTAGAAGATACAATAAAGTCATCAGCTGCTTCTG